ATTGGATATTTCATATACTCGATCGGGTATATGATCTAATCATGATTTTCTTCTTTCATTTTGTCCTCTTGCACCTTCCTGGCCCCTTTGAGATTCATTCATGATCTTTTGGTTGATCCTTAATTGATTCTTGCTCAGAACAATCTAATCTATATAAATTATCACATACTAGGAAAACATATGATTGCAACGCAAATGCGCAATTACTATAACAACGCAAAATAAAAATCAATTAAAAGTGAAAACATATATAATGAAAAATCCACACTATCAAGGAGCCATCTCCTCGATGGATGTTGGAGTTAACCCATATATGGTTGCTTTGGGATGATCCCTTCACGAATTGAGATCAACTCCTCAATACAGGAGTTAATTACTGTCATCCTGAAATCATACCGCCATATTTGACATTATCAGACATTATAGAATGATAACATTATTATTGCAATAATTGACGACAATTTCTAATAATGACAATAGTTATGCATATCATCATATCTATGAAAAACATAATACTCTTATTCTCGAAGTTGATTGTTTTTTACATGCAATTTGTGATTTCTAAAGTTGGTCGACGATAAGTTAAATCCTTCTTCTATATAGTTAAATCAGTTTTCATTTAATAATTAAAACGTACATAGTTTGAAACTATATTAGAAGATCTACAAAGGATCAAAGTCCAAATCAGAATATGAAAAAAAAATTGATACCCTAAATAAATAAATAAAATCAAATTTTGTAGAACATTATTCACAAAAAAAACTTGGGATTTGACATGAATATTACTTAATGAAAGGTAGTGGACAAAAAGGAGACCTCTTTTTTAACTCCCAAAAAGTGACTAATAACCTCCTTCTTCTCTAAATTACCCTTGTCGTTCAACGGGTCAACATTGTTCCGTAACATTGCATATTACACAAATGACAAACTACCTCCATTGCTAAATTACTTTTAACCTTTTGCCAACACTGGACTCTAACAATCTAAGATTTAATTTTTCTTTTGATTTTAATTTTACAATATAGTTATTTCCTAATAAATATTTAAAATATTGCATTAAATCTAAAAGTTGTAAAAAATCGTCCCAGTTACAAAAATATTAAAGGGACTTAAATATTAAAATTATTGCACGAAAAAAGTGTAAAAATCTTCTGAGTTGCTACCACCGCTAGTGATCACCATTCCACTTAGTACCACCGTTCTGGTGACCACCGTCCTAGTTACTACCGCCGCTCCACTGATCACTGTCTCACTGATGCAGTTACAATCGCCGCTTTAGTGATTACCGTGACAGTTACTACAGCCACTTCAGTGACGACCGTCGTCCCAGTTACTATCGTCATTCTAGTGACCACCGTTCCATTTACTATCGCCGCTACATTGACCAATTCTACAATGTTCCAGTGACTAACATTACAATTACATCCAAACCGTTACATATCTACAGTGACAATTACACAATTACATGCATACAGTGACAATTACAAAGTTACATACATACAGTGACAATTACATAAAAACAATTACTCCCTCATCTCGTTAAATTGTGTTAACTTTACTTTTGCAACTGCCCCAACAAAAATTGTCATTTTTATTTAAACTAATAAATGTGCAGGTAAATTATTGTTCTCAACTGATTTGTAAAAAGCTCAATCACATACATAGTAAGTTTTACTTTATTTATATTCCACATGCAAGTCAATTCTGGACCCATTTAATGGGGGTACTGAGTATTATCATTGTCCTTTATATAATATTTGTATCCAAATATATTTTAATACTCTATTTTATATTATGAAATTAGAACATTTCATTTTTAACTTTATTATATTATGTCTCGTAATTGATTATGTATATGTATCGTTTCATATTTTTCTAATATTTTTTTAATATTTAATGTTTTTATGCTCAATATATTTTCTATATTTTTATTTATAACTTACAACAATTAATTAGGTTGGCATTTAATATGGCTTCATTAAGTAATGCTTCATTAATAGTGACAACAATTTTTCACTTCTTTTAGCTCCAAATAGATTTCTATTTGGATCTCCACCATGTTCTCTTTATATATATAAAGATAAAGATAACATTTTAATTTTTATATCGCATATATCATTAATATAAATAGATTAACCATTCAAGTCTAAGTACTTTTTTTCTTCTTAATTTTTGATAATTTTATCGAATTTTGAATTTGATTTAATATATTGACGTGCACTTTGTCGTGGTGTGCACTCAAAATAATAATACAATACAACACTTATACGAAGTATAGCGTAGTAAGGTTCGTATCCGCAGGGAAATGAATATTTCTCTTTTTATAACTAGTAATAAGGGGGGTTTTTAGATTTGTTGTTGAAGAACTTTTACGAATATTAAAACACAAAGATGAACGACTTATGTGGTTTAATTAATGAGAAGAAGACTTGACTTTGCTTTTATCCACTTAATGAAATGTTCGTCGATCCCGGTTATATCTTTAACTATCTTCCTCTCGAATACTCAATCGAGGAGTATATCCAGTTCATCGAGGGTAGTTATTAATAACGAGACGCGTTAATTAATAAAACTTACTACCGAGTTAATATAGAACACGCGCCGTATATTCACTTGAAAGTAGTAATAAAATCAAGATGAAAACGATTGAGATTGATAACCTCAACACAAGCGGTTTTATTGGTTTAATCAATATAATTAATTCCCCTTGGTTTATTAACCATGAAACGCATGCATTAATAACCCAAGTTTACTACCGTGAAAGGACCGAATTAATAACAAGCATATTAATCGACCGATTCTAGTAATAATTAATATATGAAACAAAACTATTTGATCCTTTAAGTAATGTTCAAAATATTAATATGAAATATGAATAGGAATTAATTAATACTCAAGGAAGAATATTAAAGAGGATGAATCCTACTATAGTTAATATCAAGATGTTAACTAATTGTCATCTTAGTAACACTCCCTAATATTAACATAGAGGAAGAAATAACTATTACTATAACTAATGTCAAGATGTTAACTAATTGTCATCTTAGTAACACTCCCCAACATTGATATAGAAATAGTATTTAAAGGAAGAATTAATATTCAAGGAAGAAGATTAAAGAGAATAACTCACAACTTACAAATTCATTAAGCTTCAAAGTAGCAAAACCAAGATGGAAGAGTTTAGCTCCTCATTTGGAGACTAAACATGATAAAAATATAAAGAAAGTACTTAACTAAACTGAGCTAAAGAGTATATGTGAATTAGTGATTTTATTGTGAAGGAAAGGGGTATATTTATAGGCTTTTGGGAGATGCAGGGTCTGATACCCGATCGGGTATATAGGATACCCGATTGGGTATCTTAGCAAATTGCCCAGAAAGTCGCTTTTCTGGGCATACCCGATCGAGTATGTCGGCATACCCGATCGGGTATGTGACAAATCTTCACGAAAATCTTCTCCTACGATCATTTGTTCTCGGATTTGATTTGGACAATCGAATCAAGTAAATACCCGATCGGGTATAGGCAATACCCGACCGGGTACATGAGTATGTTCTCCAAATCGAAATCTTTCTTGTCTCCTTGCACTTTCCTTGATCTTTTAGGGTCCAATCTTGATCCCTTGGATGATCTTTGACCTGTTTAGCTCAGAAAAATCCTAATCTAACTAAATTACAAATAAAAATGAAAATAAAGTATTACACCAAAAGTGTGTAATTTCCACAACTAGAACTAATAAAAACTAGTTAAAAATACAAACATACAATCGGAAATTACATGAATATCATATATTAACCTTTTAATAGATATTTAATGATAAATTTTGTGTAGATTCAAGTGGTAACAACTTCACACAAATAGAAATGCATAGTAGCCAATTAGGTTATAGCGGGGCGGGGCATGAGTCAACAATTCTGGACCCGTGCGGGTCACGGGGCGGGGCGGGTCCACCCAGTGAAGTCACGGGGCAGGTATGGGTCTTGCAGTACCCGCCCCGCCCCGACCCATTGTCATGCCTACATGAAAGATTTCATCATATGTTTTATCAATCACCACAATGTCAGCACATCCTGTTCTGTAAAAATCAAAACATATATACTCGAAATTCAAGACAAAATAATAAAAATTAAAAAATTAACTAAGAGCATCTCCATTCATGCTCCTTAATTTTACGGTTTCTAATTGTTTATTATTGCCATGTTACTTCCACGTAAGAAAATGGTAAATAATCTCCGCACCATTAAATTTCCCCTCAACCATGATCTTAAATCACTTTTGATTTTTTAGCCCCATCATTACTCTTTGGTAGTGATCGATAAATCACTTGCAAATGTTGCAATGGAACCAAGGTCAAATTTAATGCTTGTTACCTTTAATATTTCATATTTTGAGAGGAACGTAGATGTTCGGGAATAATCTCCAATAATCCAAGATTTAAAATTTGATATTAGATTTTTTCATCAAATAATCTCAACATCTCAATCATGATCTAAAAAAATATCGTTCACATAATCAAAATGATTCATTTCCATCATCTGCAATGGAGCCAAAGATTCATTATTTTTTGGCCTGAGAATATGATCGAATAAAGCAAAATGGCTCACTAAACGGTCTACACTTCTTTATTATGAAGCAACAGTCAGTCCATGTAATTTTGGATGCGATTTGCTTTACAGGTCATCTGCAAACAGTCTCTCTGTGCTTTACTACAGGGGTAAGACTACATACATCCGACCCCCCCATTACTCCACCTTAGGTGGGGAGCCTTTGTGGCACTGAGGTAAATGAAAATGAAAATGATCATCAAAATGATCCTTAAATAAACCTATGGATGGGATGCCCTAAGAAACACTTGTTACTAGAGCCTATCCGAGTGGAGTAACTATCACTATACAAAAGAAAAAAATATGTATGAAATAAATCCTGCGCTGGAAGGGAATTATTACTTGCAAAGTAGGATGTAAATAACAGGGGCACAGTCAAAAGAAACTAAAGAACGGTATATAGTTGCTTTCAGGCAAAAAGGGTATAAAATGAATGAGTTTTGTATATGCAAGCCCTGGTTTTGTAAACATTTTTTGTGGAGATTGCATCTCCACTGCAATTTTTTAGGTGCCAAACATTCTCGCACTTGAGCAAAATATGGTTTCTTAACGATGCAAAAATCCAATAATAAAAGGTTGCAAGCAGTAACAACTTATTTCAGGCTTTCAGCCCATGACATTGCCATAATTTGAAATCATCAGGCACTCTCCGATAAACGATGGCCTTAACAGGTACTAAAGGATTGCCATCGGCCTCCAGATCTTTGACAAAAAAATCAAGGTAATACGAATGACCATTTTCAATAAATTGACGTCGCACCCTCTCCACGCTTGCAAACTCGCAACACTTTTTGGGCTACAAATAATAGCATTTAAAATAGTTACATATAGAAGATCTGGACAAACGCATAATATATTTGGCTCAGAAAAATGATGATGATCGAATTGCTTACAAGGTATTTATGGTGCTCATCAACAACCCAATTGCACATAGAGAGGATGGTATCATATTCTTTAGCACCCTTAGCTTTGAGTCTTTCAAGTTTAACAGGCTGTACACCGCCTGCAGGCAAGCTAGCAAGCCATTTTTTATATCTTCGTCTCTAAAACACGAAAAAAGGAGATTTCAATGTATAACCATAAAAATCACGATAACAGTTGGGTTTTAGCCCCTGTAAGATCGATATGGTGAAGGGACTACAAACATGATAAAAATTTATATGATATTGAATCGTGACTATAAAATAAAAATATGACCATACTTTTTTAGGACCTTCTTCATGCGCAGACCACCTCTTCAGCATTTTCTCTAGAACCTCTTGGGTCAGATCATCAGGTATCCTCCAACCCTCTAACACTTTTTTAAAGCGTTTAAACTTTGCGGGAATCACAAGAGTCCTCCAAGTAGACTAACAAAACAATTACAAATTAGTTAACCCTAATTAAAGTGAACTTAAATAAATCTAGTGCAATAAAGTAAACTTAAGTTTTAATAAAAACTAGGTTAGCCTAAGTGCAGTGGCGGACCGAGAAAAACAGAATCATGGGGTTCCTATCTAAATGTAATTCTAATTAATATAAAATTAAACAAATAACATGATAAACAAATAAGATGGTAAAAAAATGCAACATCTATCTTAAAAGGGACATAACATGGTAAACAAAATGCAGCATCTAAAAACCCTATTCCCAAAACACGATGACCACAAACTTCACACTCATTCCTAAAAAAATAACATGATAAACAAAGTGCATCATTTTTGGCAATAGTGTATTTGAACCATTAATGCTCATCAAACCAACTTGAAACAAATCTACGTCTTTTTCCGCCAATTACCTTAAAAGGGAAATCATGATTCCGAGGGTAAAACGATCCTTTTTTAGTGTAACTGCGACGTACCTCGTCTTGAACATTAGGATGAAAGTCAACCTTTTTTCTTTCAATCTAGGATCTACTCTTAAAGATTCAAAATCAACATGTTCTTTATGTAAATTATAAGCCAAATTAGTTCACTTTCATCAATTACTTGATCCAATTCTTCTTTTCCTAATGACGAATCATTTGAATTAACATCTTAACTACTCCTGATACTCCGAATTTCTTTAAATCTGGGTACACTATTAAAATATATTTTCATCCTAAATCGCAAAATATTGAAAAAAATCATAAATACACAAATTTAATAATGAGAACATTCTCTAAATAGCACTAAAACATGGATAAAATTCATAATATGAAAATCAATGTTTAATTAATAGGACTCATTCACTCCTATTTTAAAACATATTTCGTCCTATTTTTGAATTTGTTTATGTTTTAGTCGTATATTGAGCAAATTATATTAAATAATTTAATTTTAACATTAAAATAAATTTTAATAATTAATCTCAAAAAATGATTAATGCAAAGGTCAAAATTCAATAAAGTAAAAAATGAACAAAGGAATAAGGCGTGGATTGATTGAGAATTTCTTTCCATTAGATGGTTCAAATTCAAAACGGATGGTGCAAAGTATAAATTTAAATGAATTATGAAAAAAGCCGGAAAAAGAGTTAGTAGAGCCTTGCACGGAATCTAACCCTCCACCTGCATGATAAAAGAGGGGTTAACCTAGCACAATCACCCGTTCCGCTATTGAAGTCTTCAATTTTTTATGCTCTATTGTTATTTATATACATTTACTACTCAATTTTATTTAAAACATAAATAATTTTGTATAGGTATTGTTCTGGAAGTCCACGCAGTCTCGTGGACCCCATGGGACCCTTAGTTGATCCGCCATTACCTAAGTGAACCTAGGTTCATGCGTAAAATAATGTTTGGAAATAAGTAGAGTGAACCTAAATTAATATCATAAATGTTGTTTGGATGAATCACACTTTCTCCTTATCTGGAACAAGTTTGATGAATGACACTCTAGTTTATTTTATGTTTAGCTGTTTGCAAGTTCTCGAAAGTTATGTAAGGTTAAGTCATAATCTAAGTTTTTGTTGCAAAAACACAAACAAACGATGTTAATTAAAAATTGAATCGGAATAACAAACAAATCATACGCAACTTTGAAATCGAATCCAATTGGAATAACCGATCTTGGAATGGCAAAGAGAAGATCTGTTAATATCATATTGAATCACAGCTTATATCATACCTCGTCGCTGTAGGTAGACTCGGAAGTCCCCATTCCGGAATCCAGTTTGTTGAACACTGGCCTGCCATGGGGGGAGACCTTGAACACGATATCTGCCATTGGAGGTTCTCCTCTCGAAGACATCTTTCCCAGTTCGCGTAACAGCTTTGAGCTTGAGATTTAGATTATTTAATTAAAGCTCGTTCTCTGCACACCGCCTTTGTTATTGGCCCACCCAATTCCAGGATGGCCCAAAACTAGACGCAAATTATATCGTGCAACTGGCGCACCATGAGGATGGTGCGCTCGGTTGCAAAACGACGGAGTATTGAAGCCTGCTTTCTTTATTTTTTATCCTTTTGTTTTTTAAAAATGGTAATAACTTTTTTAATATTGATCCGATTTTTATAAAATTTATATCAAAATTTTTTATTTTTCATGATCTTTCAAATGAGACCAATATTGCTTATGTAATTTTAAGAAATTATCGAACTATTATATTAATGTGTATTGGATTATAAGGAAAACCAAACTAAATTTAATACAGAAAAATAATTGTGTAAATCACAATTTATCTTAAAATTGTGTACATAAAAAATTTATTGTATTAGGTATTTATACATGTGAGTTACATATTTTTATATGTGAAGTTACATATTTTTACACGTAAAGTTACATATTTCTACACGCGAGTTACATATATATACACACGAGTTGCATTTGACTTGTCTGAACGCGAGTTACATATATTTACACGTAAAGTTACATATTTTTACACGTAAAGTTACATATTTATACACGCGAGTTACATATTTATACACACGAGTTGCATTTGACCTGTCTGAACGCGAGTTACATATTTTTTTAAATAAAGTTACATATTTTTACACGTAAAGTTACATATTTATACACACGAGTTGCATTTGGCCTGAGTGGACGTGAGTTACATATTTCTACACGTAAAATTACATATTTTACAGAGGTTAAAATTACATAGGCAATATTGGTCTCATTTGAAAGATCATGAAAAATAAAAAATGTTGGTATAAATTTTATAAAAATCGGATCAAAAATAAAAAAGTTATTACCATTTTTTATTAAAAGAGAAATAAAAAATAAAGATCAAGTACTTGCCAAATACGCTGCTTGCCAAAAACCGCATGTCGGTATACGGTGCTCACCGTATACCGGTCATATGGTATAACCACTGAAAACTAGATAGACCAATAGATAGACATTATACTACGTTTTATGCGGCAAAAGAATCCAGAATTGCACTCCTTGAACGTCCTTGAATAGCAGCACTGGCCGCCATGAATGAGCACATAGTTACAGATTAAGGCCATATCCAACAATTTACACCATTTTTACACTAAAATGGTGTAAACATAACATCAAACAGTATTTTATCTCCAACAGTTTATACCATTTTCATCACAAAAAAGGAATATTCTCTTTTTATTCTTTTTACTAACTTTTTATCATTTTATTTAAGTATCTAATTATCATTTATTTATACATTAGCCCCTCATTTAATATTTTGACATTTCACACATTATTTCACACATACAAACTAAAATACACCATTTTAATATGTATTTTCACGCATTTCACTAATTAAAATACAATAATAAATATTTCACTAATTATAATGGTGTTATTAATTGTAATTTTAATTATGTTGTTTTCTTAAGTATCATTTGTATTATGTTATTATGTTGTTTCGATTTGAAACTTTATTTATAATATTGTGCGATTTAAATTTTATTATATTTTTGTTATGTTCTATCAAATTAATAATTTTAATTTGTTGTTCTATATAGATATTTTTACTTGGACTGTAATTTGTCTCAGATCAGATCAGACCGGATTAGACCAGATTTGGATAGTTATAAAAATACAAAGAAATCAGACCAGACCAAATCAGTTCAGAACAGACCAGACCAAATCCGACCAGATCAGACCAACAAATTTTAGTCCAACTAAAAACATCCTAATTTGTTGTTTTAAAAATGGGTCAAAACTATAATAATCCAAACTTTGGGTCACATTTGAAATAAAAAAATAGAAAAAGAAGATGGTGTTGGATTTGGTGTACCCCATATATGGCGTAAAGCCAAAGGCATTCCACCAAAATGGTGAAATGGTATTGAAGATGGTGTGGCCGTTGGAGCATTTTTTTTTGCAAATGCAACATTTTGGTGTAGAAGTTGGTGCTTGTTGGAGATGTCCTCAGGGCAGTATCCAAAACATGGAACAACATGATTTCCGATCCGTTTTTCATTGAGAGATACGACACCAAGCGGCGGCGGTTGCCTGAAGGTCGTGGTTTGCTGGCATTGTTCCAAAATACTTGAGTACACCGTTGTTGCCTTGTTCCGCTCAACATAAAACTCTGATGAACATAATGTCTCTTGATCGAAATAGCAAAATCAAGAACAAATATCCGGAGCTAGGCGGCCTAGGCCTACTCATAAATTCCTCCAACGGGTTGATCCTCTGCAGCATCCGTCAGCACTGCGAGTACCGTGTTGTAAACCCCGTTACGGGGAGGTTCGTAACCTTGCCACCGCCACCGCTGCTGGAGAGATTCTTTACTGTGTTTTATGCATACGCATTAATGGAAGAGAGTAAAACTGAACTGGCAGCCAAGTTTATCGTCATTCTAGTTGATTGTTATTTTAATAATTCTCTTAGGAACTGTTTCTTTGGCCTCCTATTGTGACCAATGGTGTTTTCCACTGGTGTAGTACTACACTAGTGGAAAACACCATTGGTCACAATAGTTGTAGAAATGTTATCCCCAGAATGTCGATGATTTGGATGAGCTATTCAGAGGGACGATAATGTGTAAGTATTTTCCAGTAAATACTAGCACATCCAAATCATCGACATTCTGGGGATAACATTTCTACAACTATTGCAAGGACCTCCATTGATGCGGGTGATGTGTTATGGTTCGGCTACATGGATAACAAGACCATGAGAGTGTTCATGCTCCCGAAGGGCTGCGAAGACGGGGGCGGTAGTGATAACCAACCGCGGCCGTATTTGGTAGCTTGTCAAGAATGGGTGTTAATGTACATATTAGTGTGGATTCTCTCTGGAATGATGAGCTCTTGTTTCCATTGAAGTGCAAGGGTGAGGTTGATTTCCTTGGAGGCCTTTGTTCCAATTAATTATAATAATAGGTCTCCTCCTTTTCACCTTATTGTGAGGGTAGAAAGAGGGGATGCATTTCTTTTCCACCTCGACACTACTACTACATCCATTCAACACCTTCAATATGAAGGACATCCGGTCAATGAGGAATCTGGCTCGCATTCATTGATTTTACATCCTTATTTAGAACCATCTTCTCTTTCCACATATGCTCAGGTTGATACAATAATTGATGATATAATAAATATTGATCAGTAGTTTATTTTTATATGTTGGGACGAACGAATAGAGTTATTGTCTACTTAATCAGTAATTAATGTATCTAATTGGGTTGTCAATTTTCTTGGAATAGAGTAATTCGTCTAAAACCCTATTTTTATGTTGACTCTTGATGGTGATTATAATTCAATTACATTTTCCAGTAGTAGAGTGTACATTAGACCTGTAGTGAATGGTAACAAGAATGAAACTTTTGTTAGAAAAAGATTGTGATTTTTTATTTCCCTATAGTGGTTGTGGTTGGGGCTTCACTTAGTTGAAGATCTATATCTAGGGAAAAGAGGCAAATAATTAAGCTCTCGAACTAACAAAAAAAGTGCAAATCACCCCTTATGTGGGAGGTTCCTGTCCGGTTGTCGTCATTTCGGGAGCTTCCCGGTGGAATTTTTTGATGAAATTGTTTGAGCATCTTCTTCATTAAGTCTAGTTTATCCATACCAAATTTCAGATAAAAATTCAATCCGAAAGGCAATCAAATAATTTTTGAAGATAACTGCTCACTTAAATAGTGCAGTATATTTCGGAAAATCATTGACTGTCTTCCCTGTTTTATTTAGTATGGGTAAACTAGACTTAATGAAGAAGATGCTCAAAAAATTTCATCAAAAAATTCCACCGGGAACCGCCTCGAATGGCGACGGCCGGACATAACTATCACTATACAAAAGAAAAATATATACGTATGAAATAAATCCTGCGCAGCTGCGCTGAAAGGGTATTACTTGAAAAGTAGGATGTAAATACCAGGGATGCACTCAAAAGAAACTAAAGAACAGACTTGTTGTCTAATTAAGAGAACAATAAAACAAGAGAGAGAACAATGGGACATGCAATTCCGGTCATAGAAACGAGTGTATACTTGCTTCAGGCAAAAGGAGTACAAAAGGAATGAGTTTGGTATATGCAAGCCCTGGTTTTGTAAACTTTTTTGTGGAGATTGCATCTCCATTCCAAATTTTTAGGTTTCTTGGCCAAAATTTGGTTTCTTGACGATGCAAAAACCCAATATTAAAAAGGTCACAAGCAGTGACATACTTATTTGAGTGTTATTTCAGTCTTTCAGTCCATGACATTGTCTTACTTTGAAATCATCAGACACTCTATGATAAACGATGGCCTTAACAGGTACTAAAGGATTGCCATTGGCCTCCAGATCTTTGACAAAAAAATCAAGGTAATACGAATGACCATTTGCAACAAATTGACGCCTCACCCTATCCACGGTGGCAAACTCGCAACACTTTTCTGACTGCAGATTATAGCATTTAAAATAGTTACATATAGAAAATCTGTTGTAGATTATAGCATTTAAAACAGTTACATATAGAAAATCTTGAAAAAAGCATAATATATTTGGCTTAGAAAAATGATGATGAAGTGCATACACGATATTTATGTGTTAGAAATTAAACTTGGCTTAGCCCAATCATTGGGTCCATTAGAAGTTAACTTATTGGGCTAGTAGTTGTATGAGAAATAATAAATTAGTTAGCCCATAAGTTAGAGTTAGTAAAGAAAGGTCTAGAGTACTCTTTAGTTAATGTACTTATTAAATAATTCTAGAATATTCCTAAGCTAGAATCCTATGGAATAGTGTAGAATGTTAAAGACATAGGAGTGCCTAGAAGGATCCTAAGAGACCTATAAATAGAGCACTCCTCACTCATTTGTAATACAAGTCAAAAGCTCCAAATCAATAAAAGTTCCAAGTTCTCCCATAATCATCTCTCTCTAAAATCCTCTCTTCCATACACAATCACCTAAATACAATACTCATAAACTCCTTTATTCCAACAAAGTGGTA